TTGACTTTTGAATTTTAAATGGTTTCTTACCTGCATTCCTCATTTCTACTTGCCTGTGGCGTCGTAGTTTTTAGGCTTCCCATTGTTGTTACATACGTTGTTAAGAATTCCTGAAGAAGCTCCGTTGTGGATTGTGCAGATTCCTGTGTAGACATAAGCATCAGTTCAGAATCTGAGGATAGTTCAGAAGATTTGTCGGATTCGGTACCAATTTTTCTCGCGGACTCTCTGTACAACACGTTTGGTTCTTCCGCAATTCTCCAGCTCGCTTGCCTCAAATTCGCCAAATCCAATGCTACGGTATTGTCGGGTCGACTGGGCGAAACTAGACGAATTGGCAGATCACGAATTTTTCGATGATTTTGCCACCGGCATTTTGCTGGATTTCCAGAACAACTCAGATACTGGAGAACAGGATCGAGCTGGAAATTTTTAAAACTTAAAAAAAAAAAGAAATTTCCGAAAGTTCTTCTGAGCTTAAAAATTAACTGAAGTTGAGAACGAAAATCATTCTTCAGTTTTTACGCTTTTACGCCGTACAAAAGCCGCACAAACGCATCTTTTTGCGCCTCCTGTCGTGTATGTCTTTGTATTATGTATTTATATATATGTATGCGCGTATATATACATATATGTTTTTGTAAGATGAATCACGCGTACCTAGGAGTTAAATTTGAAACTTTCAAGTTATACGCAGACAAGAGACATCGCCTTAAAATTTCAGCTTTTCAGCTTTTCTGGTTCCGAGTCAGCAGATTCCTCGTGCCCATGCATGGAATTCAGAAGTGCATGAAAGTTACTGCCGAGTCCTTGAGATGGCGCTTGGCCGGAGAACCCACTGGTAAAATTTCAGCTTCACAGATGCTATTCTTGGTGTTTTGCTGAAATGCAAGTTATTCAATTATTCTGAAACGGAACTGACCTCTGTTTGATGGATGGTACCATGTGGCTTCGCTGTTTTATTACTGTTTAGATTCGCATTGGTGTATTCATAAAAACTATATGCTATTTCCTAAAAAGAAGTTGAAGATCATTTTGAAGACAAAAATCAAAACTTCCTCCGTATTTGCTCTTTGTAAAAGGTTGAGGCACTCGGAAGTATACCTACTGTAGCAAACACTTCAGCGTTGGCAAAGTTGATCATTCAGCCAAAAATGTAGCAGAGAGAGGAAGTGCTCCTAACGATTCACAGTTTGCTAGCACAAAGAGCAGTGTGTGGTATCCAACGAATTAACTGCAACAGATACGTGAAATCTTGAATGCCTGCCATGTGATAGAGCAAACTGTGTGGAACTTACTTCGCACAGAAGCACATTCTGCAGTTGATGGCTGAGATGACCAGTGTGATAACCAACTGACAACAGCCATGTAATAACTGCTACAAGTGGCAAACAAGCACTGATAAGCGAAATAACAATCGCAATCTGATAAGCCTTTTCACGTCCTCCATCCACCACATCCAATTCCATATAACTGTTCCAACACTTCGAAAATTTGGGCCCAATTTCTGGACCTCACGATAGTGTAGGAACTTTTCCAGAAATTTTTAAGATTTTTCGGAAATAACAGAAATAATAAGCGGCTTTTCGCGGCTAACCGTAGAAGCGTCCAGTGATCACAAAATCGTAAAATTCTAAAAAAAAAGGTCTTCCAGAAAACAAAAAAGGGCGGAATTTTAAAAATCTTCACGACATAAATTTTTGCACAGTGCAAGTGCGCGACTGAACTGGTCACACTTCATGGGAGGGGAGTGAAATACTGCGGATGGGCAAAATAGGGACTTTTACACAGTACATGTTACTAATGACATGGAAAGATCCACTAGAACAATTATTTGGAGTAATCGAATCAAAAAAATTGTTAAACGCAGCGATATCGAAAAAAACGGGGCTCGTTAAGAGCACTTCTTCCAGGTAGATTAGCAATGATGTCGAAATAAATATAATAATTAGGGTAGAATAAAAAGAAATAAAAGGTTTCAGTAGACCAAAAGCGAGCGATTACTGCTAAGCTTTACACAAATTCAAACATTTAGAAGCCATAAAAAACTCTTTTTTCTCCGGAGAAAGTCACAATAAATTCAAAAAATCAGAAAATATAAAAAGTACTTCATACAGAGAGTACTTCAATGATTACAGATGAACTAACTTCGAAAATCAAATAATTTGATCTGCGAAATTTCACTTGGTGCTCTTTTTCTTGGAAATTACCCAAAAAACTTGCAAACACATCAAACACACCCTTATATTTCTAATGGCCCAAAAGAAACTATATAGGAAAACCTGCAAAATCTGAAAAAATTATAAAAAAATCGAAAAATCACGGAAGTTAAAGTTTTTCAAAAACTACTAAGTTATAAAATCCACAATTGGCAACCAATGGACATTGCGTATTAATGAGTGATACTTTTCAGAAAATATAACCATTCGAATGGCGTTAGAAGAAAAGCACACATACACTGAACAGGCGGTGGTACCAATTGGGGGCATACAAAGGCCTGGCAATAGTTGTGCCCGGCGTGTGGAAGCATCAGTTCAGCAATATCATTAAATATGAAAAACCCACACTGATTGCTATGTGCGATCTTGATTCTTGGTATTTATTTAACCCGAGAAACGTAAGAATAATTAAAATGAGAGGGGTATGAACCACTACAAAAAAAGTGTTAGTTATCAACAGCAACAATGCGGTAACATTGTGGCGCTGTGGAGGGTGTACGTTAGCGCTCGCTCATCTCCTGGCACCGAGACATGTTAGTTTCTGACCTAAAAAATATTTTTGTGAAACACATGCCCTAAATTT